TAAACTTGCCTCGTTGCGTAGAGTATGAACCTCATTCTGCAATGATGCTACCATCTCACGTAGAGCGGCTACCTCACCACGTAAAGTAGACACCTCAACACGCCATGCACCATTGTCATCGCGTAAAGTACCGACCTCCTCACGCAAGGCATTGACCTCATCACGTAACTCCCCTAACTCATCCCGTGGAGGTGGAGGTGGAGAACAGGGAGATAAACATCGTGGCATCTTTGTCGGTCGCCTATCATGAGGTGATGGTGGAGAAGAGGCTCGATGATGTGACAGAATAGGTGATGGCTCTCGTTGTGGAGGTGTATAGTCGGGTCGATCAGGTGATGGCTCTGAGTGAGGTGATAACTCTCGAAGTGAAGGCTGCTCATCATCCGTGCCATCAAAAAAACGCTTACTAGCTTGCCACCAATCAGTGGCAAGCTCAGCTTCCGTGGGTGTCAGCCTCTGTAATGGAGTGTTGGCCTCCTAACAATATAAAAACTCAAACAAAGTTAAACGTGTACTAGTAATAACTTGTTTATAAACATATGGTAGTATTTGTGTTAACTTACATTATTTATTATCGTATACGGTAGTAAATCTTCCCATTGCTGCAAGGTCCGTTTCCTCTTCCAGGAAATAGCCCTAGGAATATCTTTAGAAGTTTTTAATGCATATGTCTACATGGCGGAAAAGGCCTCAAATATCCAAATCTACAAACAATATAATAACAAACATTAGTAATTGTTAAATAATTAATTATAATTTTGGAAACATTATATAAAAATTCTTACCTTAAAGGCCCAAATAAAGCCTGACAAAGTGTATTCGGAACCATTGTCACGCAAACTTTTTCGATCATCAAAGGCAGACGACAACTTATTCCATGTAGCTTTCCATAGATATGAACCCCACGGAAACAGGTTCCATACATTTAGGTCCTATACCAATTTAATTAGATCATTAGGAATAGGTTGTATGGCCTCTCTGCCTAAAAATCCGGCATGCAAAAGTATTAGAAGGCATACTCGGACAACATCGACGTCATCCATCAGAGTAAAATCATCTTTCTTATTCAATAATCTCGTCAAGTCTTCCACGTGTAAATTCGGCTTCTCCATTGACAGCTCAGGAAGAACCCGGGATAACCATGATAGGCGGGTAATATGTCTAGTGTACCGACCTACATCATCGTGTCCGAAGCGTAGACCGGTGATTAAGCAAAACTCCTCCCGCCCAAAACACGTATACGTCGGTGGAAAATCAAACCATATCTCTTCATCACGACATTGTATAGTCTCTGGTAGATCGCTAGTCATGGTTTGAAGAAACAGATGGGTCAACATAGCATCTCCACCCGGATTTGTACTTTCAGCCATGGCCCGAAGCAAGTATCCTCAAATAATTTTCTTTGTTCAGGTGAAAGCTTCGACGCAATTGTTTTGGCCAGGCTTACTTTATTTCTTAAGGTTAATTGAGATGAATAAAAGTTCTACAAAAACAATAAACATACCAAGTTAGATATACCAAAAACTATACTGTGAAGATATACCAAGAACAATAAACATAAAGAGTAGTAGTTTATTCTTCAAACTTAAATTTGCAATACTGTGAATTTAGTATTTGTCTTTGTTTTTTTGTTGAAGTAATGCAATTCATTCAAGTTTCAATTTGTAGAAGAAGAATAGTTTCTGAAACTTAAAATCGCAACACGAAAATGAAAATCGCAACACGAAAATGACTATTGCAACGCGAATTTGACTATCGCAACGCAAAATGAAAATCGCAACGCGAAATGAAAATCACAACGCGAAACTAAAATCGCATTGCGATTATGTCGTTGCGATTTTCATTTCGCGTTGCGATTCTCGGTTTCAAATACTAAAATTGAAACTTGAATGGATTGCATTACTTCAACCAAAAGACAAAACAAAGACAAATACTAAATTCACAGGGTTTAAAGACTAAACAGTTTAGCAGTATTAACAGCAATCAAATGACTTTAATAAGCAATCTAAATGAAATGGTTAATCTATTATTGAAATTACCAGTAAACTTATCATCAATTTCAATATGAAAAACCTAATAATAATGCAAAAATTTCAAAATAAAAATAATTAAAAAAACCAACCCTCGGTGGTTGATTTGGTTGATTTTCCATTTCTGACCGTGAATGATTGTGAGGGTGGCTCTGAGAGATGGAGATAGACGGATTTCGTCGGAGATGGGGACTGATTTCGTCGGAGACGGGGACGGATATCGCCTTAGAGAGTGAGAGATGGAGATGGGACTGAGTTGTGATTTAGGGTTTTAGGTTATGAGTTGCGATTACGGGATATACTGTGGACGGTTCAGTGTTCCGATATATTAATATTCGTGTTTGGAATTTGAAAAAAAAATACGCGGTGCGATAATAACGGTGTTTTAAAAATCGCATTGCGATAGTCAGCATCGCGTTGTGATAGTCAGAATCTCGTTGCGATAGTCATAATCGTGTTGCGATAGTCATAATCGCATTGCGATTTACATATTCGCATTGCGATAGTCGGAAAATCGTAACGCGAATTTAAAAAAGCGCAATGCGATAGTCAGAATCGCGTTGCGAATCTGGAAACTGATTTGCGATACAGGAGATCGCGTTGCGAATTATCGATCGCATTGCGATTTAGTTGGTCATTTTGGCAAATCCAAAAAAAGTTGATTAAAATCATATATTATAAGGTATTTTCGATCACTGAGGTTATTTTCTCAAAAGTTAATTATGGATGTTATTTCATCTTTATGGTCAAAGAAAACTTTAAATAGAGATGGAGTTATGATCAAACATTGAGAAATATTAATATTTAAATTAATAATAATTTAAATATTATTTTATCAAAAAAATTGAGAGTCTCATATTCCTTTTTATTAGGGATGGACACAATACTCGAATCTGATGGGTTTTGATCTGACTTGATCTGATCAGATCATATTTTTTATATAAAATTTTAGGTTTAGATCGGGTCGAGTTTTTAGAAAATATGTTTGGGTCAGTTTTGATTCGGGTTTAGGATGAAAATATCCGACCTGACTCGACTCAAAAAACAATAAAAATTGACCTTATATATTTAGGGATAATTACAATAATAATCATATATACATTATTTTTTTCAATTAGATATCTATTTGTATTCAATAAAAACAATATTTTTTTATAAATATATTTATTTCAAGTCGGGTTAGATTCGAATTTTATTTCAAAAAATCAAGTCGTATTCGGGCAGTGGCAGATCTATTGAGGGTAGGTACTTACCCACTCCGAAATCCGAATTTTCTTCGATTACTCAATTGATGGTGTCTACTATTGAATTTTATTTATGTTTATCTCATTTAAAAATTTTATATTGTCAAAATATATGTGCTAACCCTCAAAAATATTTTTGGACCCACCACTAAATTCAGATCAGATGAAATCACCCTTATACTCAGATTGAATCGAGTTTAAATGAAGAATATATATTTTTAAGTTAAGATTAAGTTGACTTAAAATATGATCTGATCCCACCCATGCCCATCCTACCCATGGTTCTATCCCTTAAGCTTACGCAGGTTGATTTGAGCATGCATGAATTTGTTGGGTACCTTTCAAGCACAAAATGAACCCATGATTGTGTTATACACTTCGAGAGACCGTGTAACCTTTCATGCTTGGTTGGGGGGGGGGGGGGGGGGATACACTATAGGGTAAAGTATATAAACGATCCGATTATAGTTATAGAATATTAAGTTAATTATTAAAAGTTACAAAATGATCCTTAGATTATAAAATATTACTTTGTTAAATCTCTCGACTATTAAAAGTTACAAAATAGTCACCTGATTATTTATTATATTCTAAACTCGTCATTTTCCGTTAAAAAAATGACGATATTATGAGCCGAACGTTAACATGTTGACTGTAATATAATAAAATCCGATCTCAAAATTATAAATGACTATTATATCTCAGTCATCATGTTAATTTCCATCTTAAACAATAACCAATTTTTTAATAGAAAATGACGAGTTAAAACATAATGAATAACAAATGATCATTTTGTAACTTCTAATAATTGAAGTACTTAATAAACAATACTCTATAATTAAAGAACCATTTTATAACTTTTAATAGTTAAAGACTTAATAGTTAAATGCTTAATAAAAGAATATCTTATGATCGAGATCATTTGTGTAGTTTACCTGGAAATACACTATAGGGTAAAGTATATAAACGGTCCGATTATAGTTATAGATTATTGTTATATTAAGTTAATTATTAAAAGTTACAAAATGATCCTTAGATTATAAAATATTACTTTGTTAAATCTCTCGACTATTAAAAGTTACAAAATAGTCACCCGACTATTTATTATATTCTAAACTCGTCATTTTCCGTTAAAAAATGACAATATTATGAGCCGAACGTTAACATGTTGATTGTAATATAATAAAATCCGATCTCAAAATTATAAATGACTATTATATCTCAGTCATCATGTTAATTTTCATCTTAAACAATAACCAATATTTTAATAGAAAATGACGAGTTAAAACATAATGAATAACAAATGATCATTTTGTAACTTCTAATAATTGAAGTACTTAATAAAACAATATTCTATAATTAAAGAACTATTTTATAACTTTTAATAATTAAAGACTTAATAGTTAAATGTTTAGTAAAAGAATATATTATGATCGGGATCATTTGTATACTTTACCTGCAATATAATAGAATATGAGAGAGTAAAGCAATCAAATGGACAACCTAGACACACATTCCTTAGCATTGGAAAAAGGCAACCCCATGAATGCATGAAGAATGAATTTCTTGTTTGTCAAAATTAGAATTCCCACCAATCACATCAAAGAATAATATTTATATTCCTTCCCTACTCTTTGCACCTTTGATTTCTTCATCTCACTCACTCCTCTACGTATATAAACAATTCCAATTAATAAGCCAAAATGCAAGCCCTTGTCGATCCATAACAACAATCCTTGTATTTTCTGGAGTAGTTTATTCGCTGAAAATGGAGTCCCGCCAATCACTGAAACGATCGGATACCATTGCAGATGCCATGCCTGATGCTTTGAAGCAGAGCACCACCCATATGAAGAAATGCTTCACCAGGTATACTTCATTTTTTATATATAATGAACCGAGCTTGAATGAATATTGTTGCGTTCGTGTTCATTTGTTTGTTTTTCAAACTGGTTTATATTCTATTCGTGTTCGTTTAAAGTTTTAATACCATGTTTGTTTGTTTGTGAAGATGTTCATGTTCTGTCGTTTAACATTCATGAACATATTCGATAACTAACACTATTTTTATCCTTATATTTGTAAGAAAAAGAAAAATGATAAAATTACACCACTCAATAATAAATTCCTTTGGCTTCACAATTTGGATTTTAAAGTTCATTCTATGTTCAATTTAGTTCCTATGTTAACTCACATTTAAAATGTTAAAAAATAAAAAGAAAAGGAAATCCGAGTAAACGAGTTTGTTGGTAAACATAAAGAAACATAACACACATTTTTGTTTTTCTTTTATTTATTAAATGAACATAATTTTTTTTTCATTCTATTTAGCTTACTAAACAAACGTTATACTAACGGTTCACAAATAATTCATCAAATACTTTGTTTATTTACATCTTTATATATATATATATATATGTATTTATAGTTTGATCCTCTAATATGCTGTAAAATCGAAAAAAAAGGTTGGTGGAATCGGGAAAAAGGTTACTAAAAAGACAGCAATTGATGGATGAAGTGGAGAACTCAATAGAAGACAAGGCTGAGAAAAGCAAGATCCTGGAGGGACTAATTGGTTTCATTCTGATATCCACACAGGTCCTACATTTTAATCAGATCCCAAAGTCTAATTTTTTAAATGTATTAGCTCTAAAAAAATTTCCCTGCAGGAGGCAGCTGTGGTTCCACCATATGTTGCATTTGCCGTGAGACCGAATCCGGGGTTCTGGGAGTTCGTCAAGGTGAACTCGGAGAACCTCCATGTCGACGGCATTAACCCTTCGGAGTACTTGAAGTTCAAGGAAACGATATTCGACCAAAATTGGTATAATTAATATTAGCAGATTACTTCTCCCTGCAGTTTATATTGGATCCTTACAATGTTCTCAGCAATCATTCTTATGCTATGGTGCAGGGCGACCGATGAGAATGCTTTGGAAATCGACTTCGGATCCATTAACTACACTACTCCTCATTTAACCCTTCCCTCTAGTATCGGCAATGGAGCCACCTACGTCTCGAAGTTCATGTTCTCTAAGCTATCCGAGAGCTGCGAATGCGATAGCCCGCTGTTGGACTACCTATTGGCCCTTAATCACCAAGGGGAGGTAAATATGTCACACACACGTATGTTTAGCTCCATTTCTTCCTCTGTTTGTGAGAATCATGTGTGAATGTACTTGGAGTTGCAGGATCTCCTGATAAATGGAAATCTAAATACGGTCGACAAGCTTAAAACAGCTCTGCTGGCAGCAAGCAGTACCGTCTCCGCATTACCGAAGGAAACACCATACGAAAATTTTGAGCCGAGGTTATGTCTAGATTGAAACTACTACTTGATACATAAAAAATATATAAAACCGGAAAAGCATTTCCTTACCGTTTGAATGGTGGCAATTAATATCAGGTTAAAAGAGCTCGGTTTCGAGAAAGGATGGGGGGAAAATGCAGAAAGAGTTAAGGAGACAATGATGACCCTTTCCGAGGTGTTACAAACTCCGGAGCCTGCAAAACTTGACTCGCTCTTTAGCTGGATCCCGACTGTGTTTAAGATCGTAATCGTATCATCTCACGGTTACTTCGGGCAGGCGGATGTCCTCGGCTTGCCAGATACCGGAGGCCAGGTAATGATATAATAAAACGGTAAAGATGGGTTCAACTGAGGTAATTAAGTACTTACAGAATTGATTTGCAAATGTAATAGGTGGTTTACATTCTTGATCAAGTAAAAGCTCTGGAGGAAGCCTTGCTACTAAGAATAAAATCACAAGGCCTGGCCGTGACGCCTCAGATTGTTGTGGTAAGCAACATATATATACGTACGGTATATCTTCAATAATGATTTACAATCCTGTCATCATCATGTCGTTTTGCAATATTGTAGGTAACTCGACTTATACCGGATGCTCGAGGAACCACATGTAACCAAGAGCTCGAGCCAATCATCAACACCAAGCATTCCCACATTCTCAGAGTCCCATTCAAGACGGATAAAGGAGTACTTCAGCAATGGGTCTCACGGTTCGACATCTATCCGTATCTAGAGACATTTGCACAGGTATATATATATATGTTCCTTCGTGTCCATCACTTATCCTTGCATTTCTGTTACTATCTAAATAACTTACTCGAAATCGATGTCTTCCACGACTAGGATGCTCAAGCGAAAATCCTTGAACACATGGGATGTAAACCGGACCTCATAATCGGAAACTACAGTGACGGAAATTTGGTGGCATCTCTAATGGCTAGAAAACTTGGAATCCCTCTGGGAACAATAGCTCATGCTTTAGAGAAAACCAAGTATGAAGATTCAGATGTCAAGTGGAAAGAGCTAGAAGCAAAGTATCACTTTTCATGTCAATATACAGCTGACATACTAGCAATGAATGCTGCTGATTTCATCATAAGCAGCACCTATCAAGAAATCGCCGGCAGGTTGTTTAGTTATGATATGTCCATGTTATAAAAACACGAGACTAATTTAATCTCTAGTATTTAACTGAAAAGTGGTGAATTTTCTATTTGTCGCAGCTCAGTAAAACCTGGACAGTATGAAAGTCATGCAGCCTTTACCATGCCTGGGCTTTGCCGGGTTGTCTCAGGCATCAATATATTTGATCCCAAGTTCAACATAGTTGCTCCGGGGGCCGACCAGTCCGTCTACTTTCCCTACACAGAGGAAAACAGGCGTCTATCGTCTTTCCATCCAGCCATTGAAGAATTACTCTACAGCCAGAACGATAACAACGAACACATGTAAGTCAGACGTGACTTATTTCCGTGACATGTATAGTTGTTCATCACATACAATGGTAATCTTAATCATACAATGCTTGTCAACAGTGGATATCTGGCAGACCGGAGGAAGCCGATTATCTTCTCCATGGCAAGACTTGATATTGTGAAGAACATTACAGGTCTAACCGAGTGGTATGGAAAGAACAAAAGGCTTAGAGACTTGGTAAACCTCGTTGTGGTTGCTGGATTCTTTGATCCATCCAAGTCCCATGACAGAGAGGAGCAAGCAGAAATAAAAAAGATGCATCATCTGATAGAGCAATATCAACTGAAGGGCCAATTCAGATGGATTGCAGCCCAGACTGATAGACTTCGCAACGGAGAGCTGTATCGATGCATTGCCGATACAAAGGGAGCTTTCGTGCAGCCCGCCCTATATGAGGCCTTCGGTCTCACTGTTATCGAAGCAATGAACTGCGGATTACCCACCTTTGCAACCAACAAAGGAGGCCCGGCCGAGATTATCGTGGATGGGGTCTCGGGTTTCCATATTGATCCGAACAATGGGGACCAGTCCAGCAACATCATAGCTGATTTCTTCGAGAAGTGCAAGATGGATGCTCAACATTGGAACAGGGTGTCAACTCAAGGGCTTTGTCGCATAAACGAATGGTACCGATGCGATACACTAAAATGGAATCAATGAAACATGTTTAGCCTAGAAATATTTCATTGAATAGCTTCAATTATTGTCTCTTGCACTTGAAAACGCAGCTACACATGGGAGATTTATGCAAACAAACTGCTGAACATGGGATCCACCAATGGATTTTGGAGGCAGTTGAACAAAGAACAAATTCTAGCCAAGCAAAGATACATTCAACTGATCTTCAACCTGCAATTCAGGAAATTGGTGAGTGAATTTGGACATCATCATTTATATAAATGGCACGCAAATATATTTTTCTCATGAGTTAATGTAACAGGCGAGGACTGTGCCTATTCCATCTGAACACACCCAAGCAGAACTAAAATCTCCGAAAACTAAACCGGCACCGTCATTGCCTACCGAAACTCCTCAGTCAGCACCTGTTCTAGAATCTAAACCGGGACAACCGAAACCTGCGGCAGCACAGGATAAACCCGAACTTCAACCTGCAGCAGAAACTGAAGCAGAGTAATACCAACGTGCATTTAACCGTTATTTTATCCCTTGCTTTGGTCTAACTTAACCAGAATTATTCTGTCACATGCAGGGATCAAAGTTTTCTGCAGAAGATTAGCCCTTTCCACAAAATGTGCTTCACAATTGGTTCTTTGTGGCTGTTCTATTATTTCATAAGGAAGTTGTATTACAGCTTTACATGGTGGTAATATGATGAAAGTATAAGCTGATGACAGACACCTAAGCATTCTTCAATTTGTAAACCTTTGTTAATGAATAAATTGCCTTAGAAGCTTCAATTTGTAAAGTACTGATAAATTCTGGGACGCTGCCCTGAAAATAAACTTCATACTGTTTTTATATTTTCAAGCATTTTATTTATATTTTTACTTTATGACATTAATAAAGATCATGAACAATTATATATGGAGAAAGACTTAAAAATGTCAGATTTCTATTCTCAAATTGGTGATAATCTTTCTGGTATCAGACAGACTGCACAAACTTGGTGGGAAAGCAATCTTTCAACAATTAACTTGACTAGCAAACTAACATTTTCTATCTGTTGATTGTTAAAGGTTAACAATAAGATATGATGACATGAAATCTAAAGACAATCTAGGAAACCTCAATATCCTACAACACAACACAGATATAATTTCCTACAATAAACCCTTAAGGGTCAGGGGGTTCATAGCGGCACCGATTCTAGGCGAGCTACCAGGGCCTCTTCTTTCCACCAAGAGATACAGCATTAGATCCTGATATCAAAGACCAGTTACCGAAGCCGCCACGTCCTCTGGAGCAGAAGTTTCCTCCAGAACCTAAAAACCAAAACAAGCATTGTTGAGTATCTAAAGCTAAGGATATACTCGGGAAGTCTTAATCCGCACATTACTTTTGCCAATATTACCTCCAAACTTCGAAGTTGCAGAGCGAGCCAATGTGGACAATGCGGGGGAGACGACCTGTGTAACACCCCTATCCCGTACCTGACCCGAATACTTAAACATGTATGAACATGTCTTGCTCTTCTTCGCTTCTCTTCTCGCTTCTTTAACCTACGTGTGAAACAATCACACGCTTAGTCTATGACTTAGTGAGGCATTAAATTTATAAAGGAAACTCTAAATGCTTAAACATGTATGAACATATTACTTCATGATGTCACACAATCATTATATATAATATAATGTACACATATACACATCACACATTATTTCCATCATCAATCTTATTCTATTATCCACATTATTATCATTTATATCTTTTAATCATACTTTTCATCAACATATTACTCATTCAAACCATACACACATCATCATAACAATCATATAACACAATTCATATCACAAAAACATATACTTCACAAGTTCCATCTTCATTGTTATCTCTTTGTTTAGCTCATGTGCACTTTTGAGAACTATAGATATGTGAGTCTATTGAGGTTGTGCACTAATATTGTCACCACAGCTCGTATAAATGCACCGAAGTGCCACGTAGAATTGCACCAAAGTGTCGCGTAGAATTGCACCGAAGTGCCATATAAAATGTCCCTAAGGACCACGTAGAACATTCCTTAAGAATCATATACATATACAAAGGATCAAGTATGTGTCTCAAAAGACATCACACATGTTCCAAGGAATACATATATGTCCCGAAGGACCGCGTAGACCCTCGACTCTTGGCATGCCAACTATATCCCTAGCTCTCATGACACATAACATGGGCATTATCATTTATGTCATTTCACATATTCATATATACACATAATTCACTTACGCGTAGAACAATTTCATATAATTCACATTTACACGTCACATAGCTTATATTCTTTCTCACGTAGTCACATAGATCCATGTCATATAACATATATCCAAAGTGCATATAATCACGTAGATCATATCATATCTTGTTCACATATAATCATATATACTTCATATAGCACATATAAACACCTAGAACACTTCCACATAGCTTATATCAATTTTTCCGAGTCCTTTCATATTACTTGATAACATATATCATATATGTATATAATAACTTATGTCACATCATCTACCTTATGCTTCATTTCTTTGTATTCCCTTAGATTACATAAACTATGTCGTATTTCTAAATGTATATCATTTAATAGTATTTTATTTATATATTAATTTAATATATTTACTTAATTCAATTTCATATATTCCTTATAACCTTTTCATATAGCTCCATAAATCTTTAGCATATAACTTACCTTATATATTCATATCATCCTTTTTATATTCAAGTTTCCTAATTGATATACAATTCCCATTTCATTCTATAATTCAATCTTATTTAGTTCCCTTAACTCTCATTAAATCAAAAAGCTCTATTATACTAATTCTCATAATGGATCATACCACTATGTACTTGTCCAATTCATGTTTCTATTAAGCATATAATGTTACACATGTTTACCTAGTTCCTATTACTTCTCATGAACTCACTTTGTTGAAAACATTTTTGTGTTTCGATATAACAAATTAAGTTTAAATGAATTTTAAGATTTTACAAATGATTTTCTAAGTATATTCGATTTAATTAATCGAATATCAAATTATTACTTCAAGTCTTTCAAGTTCAAATTCAAACCTTACTAAATATGTAAAAATTGTGTTTTATACTTAAACTATTTTTAAAATAATTTTCATAAAGTATTTTGAACCAAAATCAAGCCTAAAATCAATTTATCAAAGTGATGCGCCAATGCACCAATCCATGCATCAATGCACCATGAGTTAAATTGAACATCGAATGCATTTCATGCATCAATGCACTTACCATGCACCGATGCACTGAGGATTTTATGAAAACATCGAATGCATTTGATGCATCGATGCACCATCCATGCATTGATGCACTCTGGCTATTTTGAAACATCGAATGCACTTGATGCATCGATGCATTCTTAGTACACCGATGCACTAAGGGTTCAATGGTCAAAATATTTGAATTTTACACTGATGCACCGATGCACCATGGGTATGCATCGATGCACCATGGGTATGCATCGATGCACTGACGCTCCCAACTGAATTTATTAATTATTTTCACACTTAAACGGCTATATTGACTCCACTAAGCATCCCTAACATTCAGAATCATTTGAAGGTGTATTTAAACAAGCTTAGAAGCCATTGATCAAAAACAAGAAACAACAATCAACAAGAATCAAGAGAGAATCAAAGAGAAAGCATCAAACCTCAAGTTTGAGCATTTCAAGCCTATTTTTTATTCAATATTCATTTTGCTTTCAAGATCACTACTTGTACTCAATTGTATTCATTTTTAGTGTTCTTTTCTATGTTCTAGAATTGTGCAAATAATCTACCTTGTGAGGATTTCCTTGTAAGTTTGCAAATTTGTAATCTTCTCTTTGAGAAAGAGTGTTATCAAGAATTGGGGTATATTCTTGAGGGAGTTGTAAGGTTATCTCTTTGGCCTCAAAAGAAAGAACAAATTAGTGAATTTTTTGGAAAATCCTTAGTATGGATAGCTAAGATAGTGGACGCAGACTTTGATTGAGAAAGTCGAACCACTCTAAATCGTTGAGCAATTACTTTTAATTTTCTGCAAAAGCTTCTACCAAAATTTTAATTGCTAATTCACCCCCTCTTGGCCGATTTCGTCGATCGATTAACTCAACAATTGGTATCAGAGCCTCACTCATTTAAAGGTTTAATCGCCTATTGAGTCGATTCGAGAAGAGTTACATCGATTATCAAGTCATCAATGGCCTCTACTTCAAATGTCGAATCCAGTCTCGATTCGATGCCCGTCAACAAGCCTTCTTTCTTCAATGGAGCTAACTATGCCTATTGGAAGAATAGGATGATGTATTTCATTCAAGCAAGTGACATGGGGGCATGGAATGTTGTAGAAGACGGATATATTAAGCCTCTCACTCATCCAAGATTGTGGAGTGAATGAGAGACAAGAATGTTCCAGCTCTACTCCAAAGCAACCCATATCATATTTTGTGCTCTTGGACTAGATGAATATGGAAGAGTTTCATCTTGTACAACCGCCAAATAAATATGGGATAAACTACAAGTCACTCATGAAAGAACCGACGAGGTAAAACAATATAAAATTAGTCTTCTAACACATAGCTATGAAAATTTCAGGATGAAACCAAATGAAGATATCAAAGCTATAGCGGATATATTCTCAATGATTGTTAATGGTCTCAAATCATATGGAAAGATCATTCCAAACGAAAAGCTTGTGAGGAAGTTAGTTTACTCACTTCCAAAATCATGGCAATCCAAGAAGACGACAATCATCGAGGCTAAGAACCTAAAGTCCTTAACTCTTGAAGAGCTAATCGGTTCCCTCCTAACTCATGAAATGATGTTTGAAGATGATGTGGACCTCGATAAGATTGACGAGACACCAAAGGAGAATGAGAAGAAGAAAAACATTGGAGTTGCTCTCAAATCCACAAAAGATGAGAGTGATTCGGATGAAGATGGCGATGACGAGGAAATGGAATTGTTTGCCAAACTGTTCATAAAAATGATTAGACCTTACCGAGGAAGAAAATTCAAACGAAATGAAGGCCTAAAAAATGAACCAAAAGAGAAGGACCCTATCATTTGCTATGAATGCAAAAAATCGGGGCATGTCAAATTTGATTGCCCATAATTCAAAAGAAAGGGTCAATCAAAAAATAAGCACAAGGCTCATGTGGCTACATGGAGCGATGAAGAGGGTTCCGATGAAGAGGAACAAGAAGTAGCAAACTTGTGCTTGATGGCATTCGGGGAAGATTCTAAGGTAACCTCTAACTCATCTGAATTTGATGATTTATCTTATGATGAGCTATTAGAGGAATATAATGGGTTGGCTTCGGATTATGAGAAATTGTTTTTAAAATATAAAAATGATGTTTCAAAATTGAAAAATGAAAATAAACTCATATCCAAAACCAACAACTATCTTGAAAGTAAAATCAAATATTTGCAAATCAAACTAGAAGAGTTTGAAAAGAAAAATTTGGATTTGCAAAATTTACTTTCAAAGGTCAATAATGATAATCAAAAGAAAATTGATGATCTTAAAGCTTCTTTTGATAAAGTTGGAACAAAACATTTTGAAAGTGGAGAGAATTCAAAATCCAATTTTGTTAGAAAAAGTTTTAAAAACTACAATCATAAAGGTCCCCGAAGAACCTCTAATGGAAAAATCGTTAGAAGTTTATGGGTTCCTAAAGGACTCATTACTACTAAAGATAAAGATATACTATACAAATGGATACCTAAGGGGATTAGGATTTTGGAAACTAATGAATATGGACCTAAAATAATTTGGGTACCAAAAATTAGAAATTAATCTATGTTTGTAGGAAAATGAGCATTGCTACAAGGCACGGGAAACAAATTCAAACTCATGGTACCTTGATAGTGGATGCTCAAGACACATGACCGGAGACAAAATCCAGTTCATAGAGCTTAACGCCAAAAATGGAGGAGAAATGACTTTTGGTGATACTTCAAAAGGTCACATCGAAGGTATAGGTACCATAGGTAATACCTCTTCCATACAAATTACAAAAGTTTTATATGTGAATGGATTAAAGCATAATCTCTTAAGTATTAGTCAATTATGTGATAAAGGATTCAATGTCATGTTTGAAACTAATGGTTGTAAAGTTATTGACATTGCATCTAATCGAATTATGCTTGTTGGTCATAGAATAGGAAACATATACATGGTGCATTTAAACTCTATTGATATGACTAATTTATGCCGAGTTGCTAAGGATGAGCATGATAGTTGATTATGACATAGGAGACTAGGACATGCTAGTATGAGTGTTTTGCAATGGTTCATTCAAGGAAATTTAGTTCAAGGGTTGCCTAAGCTTAAATTTGATAATGATAAAATCTGTGATGCTTGTGCTAAAAGAAAACAAAAGCGAATTTCTTTTAAATCCATTAATGATGTATCAACTAGTAGAGTATTACAATTGATCCATATAGATCTTTTTGGGCCAACTAGGACTACTAGCTTGGGTTTAAAACAATTATGAATATTGTTTATGAAACTAATGGTTAATCTCTCTTTTGATTGTCATCTTAGCAACTTAAGCTATATATATATATTTAATCAATTGGCTAATCAATTTTTTAAATCTTTTTGATTTAACAAAAAAGGAGAGAAATATTAAGTGTTAAAAGGGAGAGTGCTATAGTAAGGGGGAGTATTTTTTCAAAATTGATTTCAAATTTTTAGAAAATCTTAAAATAACACAAATGTTTTGTTATATCAAAAAGGGGGAGATTGTTGAAAACATTTTTGTGTTTCGATATAACAAATTAAGTTTAAATGAATTTAAGATTTTACAAATGATTTTCTAAGTATATTCGATTTAATTAATCGAATATCAAATTATTACTCCAAGTCTTTCAAGTTCAAATTCAAACCTTACTAAATATGTAAAATTGTGTTTTATACTTAAACTATTTTTGAAATAATTTTCATAAAGTATTTTGAACTAAAATCAAGCCTAAAATCAATTTATCAAAGTGATGCATCGATGCACCAATCCATGCATCGATGCACCATGAGTTAAATTGAACATCGAATGCATTTCATGCATCGATGCACTTACCATGCACCGATGTACTGAGGATTTTATGAAAACATCGAATGCATTTGATGCATCGATGCACTCTGGCTATTTTGAAACATCGAATGCACTTGATGCATCGATGCACTCTTAGTACACCGATGCACTAAGGGTTCAACGATCAAAATATTTGAATTTTACACTGATGCACCGATGCACCATGGGTATGCATCGATGCACTGACGCTCCCAATTGAATTTATTAATTGTTTTCACACTTAAACGGCTATATTGACTCCACTAAGCATCCCCAATGTTCAGAATCATTTGAAGGTGTATTTAAACAAGCTTAGAAGCCATTGATCAAAAACAAGAAATAACAATCAACAAGAATCAAGAGAAAATCAAAGAGAAAGCATCAAACCTCAAGTTTGAGCATTTCAAGCCTATTTTTCATTTAATATTCATTTTTCTTTCAAGAACACTACTTTTACTCAATTGTATTCATTTTTTAGTATTCTTTTCTTTGTTCTAGAATTGTGCAAACAATCGACCTTGTGAGGATTTCCTTGTAAGTTTGTAGATTTGTAATCTTCTCTTTGAGAAATAGTGTTCTCAAGAATTGGGGTATATTCTTGAGGGAGTTGTAAGGTTATCTCTTTGGCCTCAAAAGAAATAACAAATTAGTGAATTTGTTGGAAAATCCATATAGTGGATAGCTAAGGTAGTGGACGTAGACTTTGATTGAGAAAGTCGAACCACTCTAAATCGTTGTGCAATTACTTTCAATTTTCTGCAAAAGCTTCCACCAAAATTTTAATTGCCAATTCACCCCCCTCTTGGTCGATTTCGTCGATCGATTAACTCAACACACTTTCATCATATTACCTATTATTACATATTTTATCTTATAACCATGTATTCACATAGTCTTATATTTCATTATCATATGACTTATATTTGTTCTCCTATAACTCTTCATAGACATCTATTTCCATTTCCATATATCACTTAACTTATCTTCTATATTTCTATAATTTCATAACTTATTTTATATTCTCTCATTAACACTTAATAGTTTTTTTACGTAAACCACATGGCACATACAAAAACATATCAATTCATATAATCAAACATACATACACTTCATGTTGTTAACATACTTATGATCAAGACTTAGTGAGCTATTACTATAGGAAATAGACTTATCACAAGTCTAATTTCCATATAATCTTATAAAAATAAACTGCACTCACCTTGGCTTCACTACGTTCCAATCCACTTATGATTTCTTCTCTTTCGATCGAATCTTAACTTGATAATCATTCCGGAACTTGTTCATATTCGATATCTACATAATCACACATTAATACATATCAATATCCAATTGATATACTCTAATATATCATTTCTTAGACCAAAAGAAAGGTTTATTTATATTTCCCCTTTGAAGTGCATCGATGCACTACCCATGCATCGATACACCAATCACCTTCGATGTTTTCATTTTAAGGGGGTGCATAGATGCAGTTCTTATGCATCGATGCATTAATTGCATTCGATGTTTCTTTTTTAAAGAGTGCATCGATACACATTGAATGTGCATCGATACACCTTGCCCAGAATTTGTATTTTAAGCCCGAAAACCATCAACTTTTCACTCAATTCTTCTATTTTAAGCCCCTATCATGTCATTAAACTCAACTACCATTACTTAAACCAACTTATATCCATATAAACCATATTTATCTTCCATATCTCAGCATGATTCTTAAAATTTAAGAATCTTACTAAACTTTCAACTTTGTTATTAATCCTTTCTAACTTCATAAATCTCTTATTCTTATTGATGGCAAGTCAAAATCAACTTTCAATTTTTATTATAAACTCTATTTCAATATTTCATTCAAGAACTCCAAATCTTTAATCTTCCCTAACTCCTTTATCTTTTGATTTTAAGATAACTTAAGCTTTCCTTAAGCTTAGTTATCATCTAATGATCATAACCTAACCTTAAATTTAACCCGAGATTATCTAAATAGAAGACTCACCTTTTGTTCAAGCCTTCACGTATGAAGAAGGAAGAAGAGAAGAGAACTCTGGAACCTTTTCTCTCTTCCCACGTGGTTTCCTTATCTTATAATGGAAAAATAAAAGTCTTCCTTGTCAAATGACCATTTTACCCTTTACTTCATTTAATAATTACCAACAATCCCTCAAAAATATTTATAAATAAGTCCCTTTATTTACCATCTGTTGAAATCATACTTCAAAGTTTCAAAAAATCCATTTTAGTTACTCACCCTGATTTTGGGATATTACAACCTGCCCCGCATATTGTAGGAGCTTCATAAGGTCCCTAGAATACTTCGCATTTGCCTTTGTGAAGAAGGTAAAAGCAGTTCCCTTAGGCCCCGCTCGTCCAGTTCTACCAATCCTGTGTACATAATCCTCCAAACTTGTAGGAAAATCACAGTTGATAACACACTTTATGTCCTTTACATCTATAGAAAAGAGAAGGAAAATCAGAACAAAAGTTGTAGAGTAACAAAAAGATAAATTTGTGATAAATTGAGGGCTCTAAAAAAACCTAAGTAGCTTCTTTGAGTAACATAAGGGATTTGCATAAAACAATGTACAAGATAGATAGGCCTAGCTACTAAAATTGACATTGTTTTCTACTCTAGATTAAATGAATACCGAAGGTAATTAAAAACTTATATTGCATGCAATATTCTTTTACTAAGCAGGCTCAATACATTAAGAACCCTAAGAATTTTAAAGAACTCCCTTATCCCTGCAACCTACGATCCAAATGATCAATATTAAGATAACACATTCATTAGATAAATGTGCCCACCTGAACTTTGCAGGGATAAGGTATACCACCACCATTTTCGTTCCCAATCAAAGAATATAACAAATGTGAGTCAGCTAGGCTGCCGCAATAAACCAGCTCCATAACTGTGGATGGGCAACACTAACTTCCACTTCAACCATATAACTTACACTTGAAGTACATACAACTATCACATAAGAGAGATTTCTAATTTTTCATTTTTCCCAACCTAAAATAGGGACATACTATTTCTCAAAAAGAGCAACAGAGTAGCCCGAGCTTTGTATTGTACACCCCGTCAAACTATAGATCACCACCTCAGTTGTCTATGCAAAAGCTCCTTGTGCCCATGAAACATGAGCTGTAAGCATAAGGAAGTAGACAATAATCTTAAGGGATACCGTGTATATAAGAAACCAATATGCCTCTCAGTCCAACTCATAGCTCCCTTAAAGTGGAGGATCATGCTTATCAGTCAAAAAATATAAATATTTACACATCATGGCACCGCGCGCCCAGGCCACAAATTATTGTCTCAGGATACTGGAAAGCAGCATGCAGACTCGATTACCTTCACCATTTCAAGATCTACATGAGAATGCTAAGACTCTCAAAACACAGTGATCCTACCAAGACCCCTTGCAGCCACATCAGTGGCAGTCATTATAGGACTTCTGCCACTTTTAAATTCAGCCAGGACCCAATCTCTTTCAGCCTGATTTTTATAACCATGGATGGACAGGACAGGCCATCCGTCCATTCTGAGCTGCCTAGTAACTTGATCACATCCCTTCTTTGTCTCCATGAAATCAGTATTTAATATCACAATATCAAAAAAAAAACTTTCCATGAAACAAGTTGCCAAAACAAACATGTTGTACTTTTCCATCTCTGTCATGACTTCAACATCTTGGTTAATAGATTGGTTTGCTTTCAGATCAGGTGATCCAATAATAACCTTAACATCATAAGAATTTGGAAAATCAAGAACATGCATCTAGGACCCTCACACACACACACACACACACACACATATATATATATATATATATATATATATATGAAACATATATAAAAGGATATGCAAAATAGATGCCACATAAACTTCATTACAAAACCTTGTACGGGTTGCATAAAAACGGCCTCGCTAACGATTCAACTTCCTTTGGCCATGTTGCACTCCAGTACAATGTTTGTCTATCAGGCCGAATCTGATCAAGGAGAAAACCAAAATTGTCATGTGAAGATTCAAACCATTTTCATTTGAAAGCATGTGATAAGGAAAATTTTTAGAAGTTCAAAATTTGGAAGCAAAAATAATTAGGATTTAAAAGAGGATTGTTGAATCAAAAATATTTTTCTATAAGTCGGGTGAATATAAGGCAATGTATATTCAAAGATTTTCGATCATTTTGAAAACGAACATTTATATTCATGCATACGTGATGCTCGAACCCGATATCTTAAGGAATAATGATTAGAGATGTAAATGAACAGAGCGTCAATGAACTATTCGTGAATCGATTGTAGAACGTTCATTTGTTAAGCTAAATAAATGAGTATGAACAAAATTTTTATGTGCATTTCATAAACGAACGAAAAAGAGGTGTATTCGAATCATTTATATTCACGAACAAGCTCGTTTATCATCTTGTTCGTTTATGCTCATGAACAAACTCATTTAATGACTTATTTATAAACTCATTTTGTAACAACCCGAAAATTTGAAAAAAAATATATATATTTGTAATTTGAGGATTTAATTAAGTAATTTGGTGAAATTAGGGGACTAAATTGAAAGATTTTAAAATTCGTAGCTTGTTTTAGAGTTAAAGAAAATTCAGGGACCAATCCCTGAATTTACCCTAAAATGTTAGGTATGTGGTATTATATGCGTGAATTGGTTTCTGATTTTCAGAAACTAATTCATCCCAAATTCCCTTCCCAGAGCCCATTTTCCAACTACGATCCCGACGCCGTCTGAATTCTGATCGTCGTTTTGAAACCACCAACGTGTTTGTTATCGAGTGAGGAACAATTCCCTTAAATTAATTGAAGCGAAACGCTGCCAAACGCCGAGAATTTCCAGTCAAAGCCTCGACGTTTTTTAGCTCAATCGCCGAGAAAATCTTAAATTTATCACCGATCGTTGCTCTGTTTACGACACCTCCGGCACCATCGTGTTCCTTGTGCCATTCCGAGTCCACCGATGTCCTCCTTTTTCTCCGGCGGCGGCAGCGCGTGTGGTGCTGAAACGGTCAAAGTTTCCGATTTGATGAAATTGAGCTCTCCGCCGTTCAATAATTTGAACCGATCTTTGTAAGTATCTCGAAATCGCTCAAAATAATTATTAGAAATTTTTTCGTGAATTTTACGCAGCCAGAAGAGTCCTCACGCGCCCCCACTGCGCGTGGGGAAGGCTAAAATAACTGGTTTAATCGGTTTTTCAAAGGGTTTGACCCTGACCCGTTGACCGTTGATCGGGTGACATTTTGAGAATTAATTTAAAATAGGTGTTATTTTGGGAATTTAATTTGAAAAAGTTCTATTTTGGGAATTTAATTCAAAAGTGTTATTTTTGGGAATTAATTTGAAAAGGGTGCTATTTTGGTAATTATTTTAAAAAGGGTGCTATTTCTGTACAATGGTTGGCAGTTTGTTGACCTCGTTTGACCAGAACTTTGACCGGCTTTGACCGGCCATTAAACAACTGTTAATCTTTTCCGAGAATACCTATCCTGACATTTTTCGACGTCCTGAATCCGTTTTTGAGTTGGTTTCACAAGATTCAAACCTGAAAGTCTCTGAATCGTCAGTCAAACCCGTTGACTTTGATTTTGACCAAGAATTCAGAATTTCGGAAGGTCATATTTTATGTTTTTCGACGTCCTGAATCTTATTCCGAAGTTCGTTTTGTCAAATTCTGACCCGAAATCCCCGAATCAAGCATGTAAACCCAAAAAGGCTTAGTATTTTGATTATTTATTTGAGAATTGGTTAAGGAATTGATTTAGTAAAATATTTTATGAAGGTACCCGTGTTTCACCTGAACGAGGATCAGTTAGGTCTAGAGTTGTTCGTTCGTCAGATCAGCTTGAATCGCGTACTAAAAGAATTACCCGTAGGTTTCCGTATATTATTTAAATAAAGATTATTTATATTAGGATTCCAATATGGATTTTTCCAATTCGTAGGATCTAGCGCTGCAGCAGAGCGTGATCGACAAACCCAGTGATAGGCTTCCCTATCTGATTTCTCAGACTGTTACAAGTGTGTTTCCTGATAGTGTTATATTATTGTTTTAAAGTATATAAATATCTTAATACTGTGTATCTAATTTCTGATTTACTGTATATTTCTGATATGATTTCTGGTTACGGTATTTTATACCGTTTTCTGAATATTGATTACCCAACATCTGAATTACCATACATTACTGATTTGATTTTTGATTTATGTATTTCTGTTTATGGTTTTCAAGCTTGAAACATTCTTATGTTTTTAAAGAATTATTCATTGTTTTACGCGCATACATTCATGTTCATTATTATCATTGGGGGGAATATTATTGGAGGAAGATTATCTGCAGGCTCCTCGGCTGTGTGCTCAGGGCCTTACTGGTTGTGCGGGGTGTATGGTTCTAGGGAACCTACACAAACAGATTGTGAAAAGATGGGGGTAGTGTTCATGTTTTCAAAACATATTGCATAAACAAATTTTATTAAAATATTTTGTTAATATGTTTTTATACACTGTATGGAGCACACTGAGCTTTTTAGCTCATTCTATAGTTTTTACCATTTTTCAGATAACATCAAACCGTAAGCTAGCAAATTTGGCATCAGGGGTGATCAACTACTTATTTTGTACGAACATATATCTCTACATGTTTTCCGTTGTATCTGGTGACATGTATTTACTATCGTTTTGGATATATCTGTATTATTAATATTTTGGTTTGTATTAATATAATGTATTGTAATATATAAAAAAAAACCTCTGAATGGGATATGTGACCACTTAGGTTTGGGTCTAACTTACAGACCGGGTCTGGGGGGTTATATTTGGTGGTATCAGAGCTTTCGGTTTTAAACACTTGGACTGTATATAGGTCCTAAACTTTGGATTTTTAAGAAATTTTGAAGAAAAAAAATGTTACCTTATTTTATGAGTTAAAGTTTTCTCGAGATCCCTGATGCTAATCTGACATATGTTTCAAATTCTTTCTGTAGAGCCTTATAGATCCAACGATGAGTGCGGCTATAGGTCGTAGGATAGGATGTGGTCGTGGTCGAGGGCGAGTTGCTCGACCTTCTGTTACGATCGACGATCTGATGTCTCCACGTGATCCTCCTGTTCTGCAAATAAATTTGTCCCTTTCTCATGATGACTAGTTTACTCCTGTGAGAGACCCTCCCATCACTGAAGATGAGGATACTGGGATGAATGAAGACGCCATTAATAGAGCTATCTTCCGCATGTTTTAGAGAGCTGCTAGAGCCCCTAGTAACATGAATGCAGTGGAGATTTCAAATTCTCTGGTTGGTGCTGGTGTAGTTCCATTTGAGGGTATTACTGGTGGACCCCCGACAGACGCTGAATATTGGCTGGAGGACACAGAGAAGATTATAGATGAGATAGACCTCGGACCTGAGCAGAAGTTGAAGGGGGCCCTAACTATGTTGAAGAAAGAGAGCTTTAGATGGTGGCAATCAATTTCTGGTAGTATTCCGAGAAACCAGTTAACATGGGATCTTTTTAAGACTCACTTCCGGAGTCGCTACATCGGAGAGAGATACTTGCAGGAGCGACGTCAGGAGTTTCAGGATCTGGAGCAGGGTAATATGTCTGTTATGGACTATGAGGTTGAGTTCATCCGATTGAGCCGTTATGCTCCTGGACTTGTTGGCACAGAGACAGATAAATGCTTGAGATTCGAAAATGGACTCCGGTATGAGATTAGGAGTCGAGTCGCTACCCACCGGGAGTGGAATTTTGATGCATTGGTTTAGATAGCCAAGACTGCTGAGGAAATAGAGCGATTGGGTATGGAGCACAAGAGAGATAGTGATCGAGCCCAAAATCGATTCAGGAGGCCTTCTGGTTCTATTGATTCTTCTACATACCCTAGCAAGAGAGGCAGGGGTGAGTCATTTCAGAGAGGCGGTGCGAGTGTCAGACCTGTTGCATCTGGTTCTTCAACTTTTCAGCCTTCTAGACATGGTGGATCTTCTGGGTCGCAATCTTTTTAGTCATGTAATTATTGTGGGAAACCTCATTATGGGGAATGCAGGAAGAAATTAGGTATATGTTTTAGATGTGGTTCAGGTGACCATATTGTAAAGGATTGTCCAGAGTTAACTCATTCAGTTCAGACACCAGCTCGTACTCCCGCTCATACTCAGAGTATTGTTCAGACTTCTGCGGGTGGTCGTACTCAGGAAAGATCATCCGGATCGACTAGTAGAGGCCGTGTATCTCAAAATAGGGGTCCAGTCAGATCTGATGCCAGACAGTTTGTATTGGTTTACACTGCCAGACTTCGACAAGATCGTGATGGGCCTAATGTGACTGCAGGTACTGTTACTATTCATTCAGTTCCATACTTTGCATTGTTTGATAGTGACTCTACCAATTATTGTGTATCGCATTCTGTTTCTGAGGGTCTAAATATTCCTGTTGAGAATATTGAGCATTCGGTGATAGTTCAAAGTCCCTTAGGCAAGTCCATTATGTTGGATCGTATTTATAGAGAGTTCCCTGTTGAGATCAATGGAGAGATTTTTCTGGCCGACCTGATGGAGTTACCTTTGGAAGAGTTTGATTTGATTCTCGGCGTAGATTGGTTGGACAAACATCGAGTAAATATTGATTTTGAGACTAAGAGAGTTGTTCTGAAGACCCCGGATAATCGAAAGATTGTAATGATTGGGGAACGTCGTGGATTTCTGACGAATGTTGTGTCTGCTTCGGTAGTTGAGAAGATGATCAGGAAAGGTTCCGAGGCGTTTCTTGCTTATATATTGGATACTAGGAGTTCTCAGTCTGATATTGAATGTATCCAGATTGTCAAGAAATTTTTCGATGTTTTTCCCGAGGAGTTGCATGGATTACCTCCAGATAGAGAAGTTGAGTTTGAGATTGAAATCTATTCAGGTTCCACTCCGGTTTCAATGGCTCATTATCGTATGGCCCCAAAGGAGCTTAAGGAACTGAAAGTTCAACTCCAGGAGCTGTTGGATAGGGGATTTAT